ACCTGTGCTTGTGGGTTTCACCGAAGTGGTAAAGGCCTGAGACCTGGATCACTTCGGGCTTTCCTCCCACACTAAGCTGACACGCCATGATATAACTCAAATGCTGTTAAAAAGCGGCGTTGAACCAAACTCACTCACTCACTCACTCACTCACTCACTCACTCGAGAATATATTGGAAAAGGAGTCCTACTCAAGTCTAGATTGATTTGGCATCTCTGGAGTGCCTCAGCTCTAGAAAATTAAGCATTGTTCTGGGTTCCATTTGAATTTTATTTACTGTTTATTTTGTGGATAAAGTTTTAAATGAGGTAACTTTAGTTCTGTGACTAAATGTTAGTCATCATTTATAGTTCAAATACAGTGTGCATATTATTAGCCATACGGGAGATGTCACATGCAATATCGATATTTGAGTCAAAGGAGAGCTCCATCATTAACTCACCTAATGTTTCAGAGGATCTTAAAATTGTTTCTTAATATATTACTCAAAAGAAGTTAAGGAACACTGTTGTTTTCATATGGCTATAGTGACTCTATCTTGGCTTGTGGGTACTGAAACACAGCCTTCCAGTTGTGGGTGTTCTTTAACTTGTTTTGAGTAGTATACTTTCAATTCATGTCAGTTGTCTTGAAATATTGACTGGGCTTAAAGGAGAATGTTCTGACGTAGAGCATGGTAGCACAGATACTGTAAAATGTCATGTTTGATTTTCTCTATTGTGTTGGAAAGGGAATAATCTATTCCTAGCATGGACATGTGGATTTGCCTGCAGCACAGATTCCACTTGATATGTACATGCTCCCAGACAAATAATTTATGAATAATGTAGTTAATGTAATCTACAACTAGGTTTGGCATGTTTTTGTGACATGCTTTAAAGTGGAACTACTGAGCTCATTTTATTAAAATACAAAAGATATGATATTAATACAGTACTTTATGTGTGTGAAGGTCTACCATCTGAAATATATCACGAAATCCTTTCATCTGTCCATAGTTGCATCACAATCTGGTAGGTTTAAACTTGATAAATACTCTAAACACTCACATATAATATATACATGTCTTGTATACATGAGGTAGCCCTTTATATTAGGTATCATCCGATCATTGTCACTATGAAAATCAAACTATGTTGATTATGTATGTTAAGTGACCACCAAGGTATACCTTGTGTAATTATTATGTATACACCTTGACTTGCTTCAGTTACTTGGTTTTTATATAGGGAGATGTATTAAATAAAATAAGCATTGTCTTGTTTACCAATCCCAATTTTCAGTTGAAATAAAAATATGTTTAAACTAAAATACAAAATCTGAAAGTTGTATGTGTCTAAAGTGAATATAAATTGTTAACATCAGAAAAGTCAAAATAATGGTACAAATTATATGGATGGATCACTGAAAATCAGTGATAACACCAGGGTCCCCTTCCACGAAGCGATCGTAGCGCTACGTTTGTCGTAAGTCTATGTTAAAGTATGTGAGTTACGATTGTCTTAGTGCTACGATCGCTTTGTGGAACGGGGCCCGGGAGTCGGCAAGCATATTCAGTATGTCCTGCCCTACCAGTAGCACCCACGACTCACACAATTTGTATCAAAGTGTAAGTGTTAGTTTGTTGTGTAACTCCACACAGCAGTACAGCCACCATAGGAATACGGCCTGTAAACTCACAACTAATAATGAACTATTAATCACGTCCATATCAAGTAAGTGACCATTTAAGTAACAATGACAGTTTGAGCTGAATTTGAACGATCTACAAAACCTACTCCTCAGCCAACCATGGATTAATCTTTCACAGCAGCCCTGAGTATTTACTGAGCAAATAACGAGTGATGTTCACAGGTATTTGACAGTTAATCCACAGAAATTACATGCAGGCCTGAGAGGAACATTAGGTGGTGAATTACATTACGTAACACCTCAGTTGACAGCTGTTGTATCCCACTGGGTACTAACAAGATATTGGAGTTGTGATTGGCCAGCACTCTCATGTCCATTATGCAATGAACAAGTCACTTGTCACTCTTCAGTTGTCAGTGTCAGTTCACTTTGGTCATGCTATGTTTTGGTTAGTTTGTATGTGTACTGCCCTGGCCAGTGTGGGTGGGGATTGATTTCCTTCTTTTCTGTGACCTATATGTTCCCAGGGCCTTACATTGTATTTTTGCTTGGATTACAGATTCGCCAACCTTAAAAATGAATATATATATATATATATAATCAGAATACATTTTTTTATACAGTCAACAGTAAAGATAGCTTTGACAATAAAAATGAAATGCTGCTGTCAGATTTTATCACCCAGTGATCCAAACCAAACTTCAAATGATTAAAAATTCCCTACATCGCATTTTCTTTTTTTTCCCCACCTAGCTACCAAATTAGTAAGGAAAAGATAAATGGATGAACAACTTCATTACAATATGGAGCGATGTTTCCGTGTAGGTTGTAACACTGTTATCAAGTGATGTACAGAGTATCTACATTGTAACAAAGAAGTTGTTCATCCATATATCTTATCCTTACTTAGTACTCCAACTTTTAAATGCCTCTCAAAGAAGTTACCAACCAAATATTTCTCTATGAAAACGTGTGAAAAACCCAGAATAGTGTGGCCAACTTTGGAGTGTGAAGTACTTTTTATAAATCTACTTCACACCAACATGGGGTCCGATTTCTGGGAGGATAAAAAAAAAAAAATATCAATGTGTTTTCCATTAGTGTACACAAGATGTTAGGAATTAACAATTAATGACTTTATGATGTCAGTTCAAACTGTTTATTATGTCAATCCAACTGTAACAGGGCAATTAATTACAAGTTGGATAACAGCAACGCTGACACCTCAAGCCTTGTTGTGGATGACTTGGCCCAGATACTCATTGTATAATACATCCTACTCAACAAGGGATTTTGCTGTAACCAAGTAGATAATCCGTTTATCTTCCTTTCTACATCCTAACCTGTCTCGTTGTGTTTCATCTGAATGCTCTTTTAAAATATTGATTGTGTAAAGAAATTATGATTCTGTCAGTTGCCTTGGTAACCTACGTTTATAGGAAGCATAGTTTTCAATGTCCATGGTTGAAATATACAACAACATTAGTATTATCACATTATATTATACAAGTCCGTGGTATTATGTGGTACAAAGTAACCAGTCAGTTTGGTTAGTTGAAGTGCAGTAATGTCTTAATAAAATATATATAGTCATACAACTGGAATATGAAATGTATTCAAAAGATGAAAATATTGAAGAGCATGAAAGTAATGCATGTATCGTTTGCCTGTATCACTACCGCCAGCGCCTCCCAGTTCTATTGTTCACTGTGGATTAAGGATTACATTACAAAGGAGACCTGCATGCAGTATATTTATCCTCCAATAAACTGGACGCCAAACCAACAATAAATGTTTTATTGCTCTATTGGTATAACACCTATCTCTGTGTAAATATCACCAGTATACAATTCTGTTGACCTCCTGAAATACCTCTGTGAGTACTAATCAGCAGATGGAGGCTATTGTTCATCATTGCAAAGCAGGATTTATGACCAGGGTGGTAGGGTTATGTAGAATAGCAATATGAGCTTTTTGGGATACTGTTTAATCTTTAGTAAGTTGTTGTAAAGTTAATGGTGAAATACACTCATTTATAACTGAAAGAACCAAAACTCTGTTTCATATAACATCTTTCCATGAGGGTCAATCAACAGAAACCTCGCTATAAAGCTGAAGAAATTAGCCTTGGGACAATCGGTGTAAACCTCGCTATAGGGTCCTACTATACAATACCTCATTATACAAAGGTCCTAAGTGACAGTCCACTCTCATTTCATTATCTCTCTGGCTGTCAATCATAGCTAGGAGTGTCCTGATTGGTTAATGAGACCAGACAATCCCACTCCCTTCCTTGATTGACAGGTGCCCTGGCAGGGGAAATGCTTCTTTCTTCTATCGTTCATTCATGCCTAACTGAAAGCAGGCACACTGGCCTGTATGCGGGGAATCTAGCTAGCCGAATCCTCACGCCTGTAGGCTGTTAGGGCCAGAGAGAGAGACGGTTACGCCAAGCACACGGCTTAGTTGTACATTACAGTGAGAGGAGACACACAGTGCTATCGGGTTAGGGACATGCTACTGGTTGATAGTCACTTGTAGGAGGATACAAGCTTTGAACAGTCTCAGGACCATAAACCGTAGATTCCTGGATCAATCACGGAATAGTCAATGCCGGTTGTGATATCAGCTGAACTGGTTGTGGAGTGGAGTTGTTTCATGTGAGTGCTTCAGTCAGATCTGGATCATTGTTTTGGTTTGGGACCTCCTGATGGACTCTGTAATGGCACTGGACGAAGGATAATAGTCTGCAGTAGTAACCCTTTGTCAAGGCGTGCCACTGCCTGTATGGAGGATGTGTTTATGTTATGTATGAGGCATCAGTTTGGATCTCTGTTTCTGATATTCCTGGAAGCACATTTCAGTGCTAGCCATCAGTGTTATTGAACATGTACGATGTTAGCGGTACATGAACACTCTGATGGATGTAGCTGTTGCATGGGGGAGCATGCTACTTCAAAAGTCAAATTGTGGACTCCAGTTGAAGTCACGCATATTGGAATAATGTGATGCTAGCTGAAATTCCTGTTTCTCAAGTCTTGCACCACGGTGGCAAGCAAATAGGGTTTATGGGATATGAGTGTCCATTGCATGCATGCTTATTGCACATCTATTTCAGTGTCGGTGGACTCCAGTGCCTGGTACACTAGGGGACCAGTGTGCTAACACCTCGTATTTGCTCAGTGAGATTGATTAAGGTGACTCTTCCTTGTGGAATAACAGAGAATAACCAGTGTTTACTTTCTCGTATCTCACATCGTAGAACACTAGGAAGGCTTCAATAATTGATACACTTTCCTGAATGTTCATTTGAAACTGATTGATATTTACGTGACATCAACTCAAGGCCTTTTCTCTTATGTTTCAGTGGACTAATACCTCTTTGGAGTTACACAATTGCACTTGGATTTACTTTGTGATTCTAAGGATTCCTACAGAAAAGGTATGAATGTTTCACTTCCTTATATATCTATGTGTCCATGATGTCTGTAGTATAGTTGTTTGGAATGTAGTACTGTTGTTTGGGTTGCCATACAGTTGTTTGTGTCTGTATGAACTTGACATTGTGATGGTTATTCTCAACATGGATTATACAAAATATGTGGAAAGACCAATAAAAAAACAAAACAAAACAAAAGGTATTTCAATAAATGTATGCTCTTGTAGTGTGAGGATACATGGCTAGCTACTATATACAACCATCCACATCAGTCAGAACCTTTCCAATGTTCAAACAGGGGCTAACAGGCAGACAAACACAAGCAACATTCACTTTCTTTCCCTAATACTGACCTTTGTTTACCATGGATCGTGAACATATCGGGTGCAACATGTTATAGCCATTATACACCCTGAAACCTGGTCACCTCGCAATACTCGTCCTCTTTATTCTATAGCATTTTCTTGCAAGGCCATGCTCCCATCAGGGTTGTGTTGTGTCGTGCTGTGTGATGGACGTCGGCTATAGTATAAATGGTAATGGATCCTATATGGCTATCATAATTTGTACTGATTACTCCATCCCCGTCTTGCTGAAGTCTGGCCAGTCCGCCGGCTTTGCAGAAGGTGGCTGCCCTCTCTCTGCAACAGTGAATCAGCCACATGGTGATGATTATTTTTACATTGCTGTGAGGTTTGCAGTCATTAGCTACTTGACTGTTTGCCATTCTAATATATAGAAATGAGCTTTGTACATGCATTGTGTGCATAGAGTTACAGGGTAGTAGTTATCTTCTTCTTCTTCTTCTTCTTCTTCTTCTTCTTGTCAACACAGACAGAGAAAGTAACTCCTACATCTGCCTCCTGTAAGAGATCAGGCTTGGATGTTGCTTCTAATGTCTGTTACTGTCATTTACATCTGCAGATGTCGCAGGAATTCGTGTGGTTAGTGAAGAACGTTTCACAAACATACACGTTATGTCCCCAGAAACTTTGTATGTGGAAAACATACATGCATAAGTCCCGTGTTTTACATACAATGGCTCTCTTGTCTGTCGCACTAGTAGTCACATTCAGTGACGTGAAGAAATTATCAGCAGTTTTTCGGTCACATTCTGCTATTTATGTTGCAGTTGAATGAAATGTTTTCCCTGCTGTAATCTGTGTGTTCATAGTTATTGTTTTAGCAAGCTCCCTTCATGACTATCAGGCAACACTCACTACCAAACATTCATTAACCTGCATGGACTTCACACTTTGGAGAATATGGTTACACACTATACCGAGATCAATTTTTATACCAGCAAAGACAATGTGAGGAAACTAGTTATGATGTTGAATACCTTGTTACCATGGATACTGGTTTACAATATCCAGCAATATGTGAAATGTAATAGCATACATCATGAAGATGTTTTTTTAATAATCAGAGGTTTTTGGAGTTCCTTTGAATTATCATCCATGTACTGTGTTCGTCCTTTCCTCAATGTGCATATGACATGTCGGTGAAAGGTACTTCTGCCATTACAATGTCATTGGTTTCTGGTGTTGAGTGACTATATTTGTGCTATCGGTGTACCACGTCTGCCTGGGACTTTCCACTACCCTCTTGCTTTCTCCACTCCCACAACTAAAGCCACATGTGCTCGGAGTTTCACACATGCTTCTCCAGATTAGATTTGCTCCTAGAAGCCTGTCTTATCATCCCTAGATGAGCCACACACCCCGACCACAATTCAACAACTGACCAAATATTCCCCCAGTTAGGATTTCACACACTGTCTGTGTAGATTAGCTTGGCTGTTGTTTATATCCTAATCCTAAGCCATACATCGTCATCATCTCTCTCCGATTCCAACACTAAACTGTGAAATCAGATCCGCCAGTCAGGCAGCTACAAATACCTAAATGTGGCAAACAACTCGCTGGATGGCAATTGAGGTTTGGGCTTTTCAGAGGTGGATGTATGAAAAGGCTGATTGTGTTAAGCAAGGATTGTGTTCTTAGAGGTTTAAAAACGGAAATAGATGTAACCACTACTTACAACCTAACACACAAGTCATTGAAATTGATAGTTTAGGTCTGGTCTTACCGGCAGGCTGGGGCACAAACTACCCTCAGGGTGTTCCTCTTTCCAAGCATATAAATTAAAGTATCTCATTATAACATGACTGTATAACATCCATAATAGATGGTGGTAATTACATACAAATAGAAGTATACTTTTGTAGTGTGAATTCAAAAGTCTATTTTGCTTTCTCTGGGTATATATTGAAACATAATAGTGAATGTAAGAAGAGAACTATAAAACATCACTGCCAGGGACTGAGCAGTCTCCATTATCTGCCGGAACAGATTCCATTGGGTGTAAAAGGATATAGTGGTGAAAAATGATGTGAATGGACACCTGAAAATCAGTGATGACACCAGGTGTTTGTTAAAAGGGTAAGGATGACCTGGTCTCAACATCGGACCGTAAGAACTGGCCATACAGACCAGAAGTACTCCCAAGACTTACCACATTGTGTTCATCAACTAACAATAAGAACGCATTTGAAACTCCTGTCTCGTTTATTAGCATGTTACCTGTTTTTCTCTCTCAATGGCCTCTTTTGGCCATAAACAATGCCAAGATTCTCCTGGTCTGCCAAGGTGTACCTGTTTCATCTATCAAACAGGTGTAAAACGTGATTCTGTTCCTGATATAATAAGAGTGGAAACTGAAGTGTTTATTCAGTCAACATTATCATTCAATTTACAGAAATAGCTTACAGCCAGCCGAACAGCAATATTGCTTTTGATATTATTTTTGCCAGTTTAGTTATTGTTTAGAATAGTCTGAGAAAAAATTCTGCAACAAAACTAGTGCAATATAAACCAGTGCTGACAAAAACATCATAAAAAAATATAAGAGACAAGACCTCTTCATAATCAACATGATCAATTCAATTGAAAATGGTACTTAAATGTTATGTCATAATCAAATGTTACATTAGCTATATGGTTCTATTTTCCCCTAATTAATTTGTCCTAAAACTTATATTTTGGGGAATTTTCTTGTGTATAGTTGGTCTGCTAATGGTAAACAATAAATTGTCTGCTATTCCCCCAAAATATTCCCAATTGACATAACCAAAGATATGACACTGAAAGTATCAAGCAAGTTTATCTTCACACCATTCCCTCCTCCAGAGCTTGTAATGCAGATTGATGCTACACCTCTTTCTCCCCTATCTACAGGTTGATTACATCAGAGTTCCGAGTTAATGTGACCCCTCAGGATAGGGACACACCTAACATAAGGGGAGAGGCCCCTGTGTCAGTGTGAGCATGTCACCCATCTGACCATAGGCCCGCCCCAAGGGGCCACTTGCACCCAGTTACACCTGAGATCCTGGGCTAGATAACACACTCATTAGCCTATGACTTGTAATTTATGACCACAGATCTTATGTCGACCACATGCTTCGTGGAGGAGATCAACAAAAATCTATTTAATATCGGGACAGTTTCATCATATCCCACACAATCTCTCAGTTGAAACATTTGTATGTTAAAATTGTCTATATCATAAGGATGAGGTCTTAAATACCCTTTCGCTGACAAAATGGTTGTGATAATAAGCAGGGCTAAGAATTTTCCTCAGATTTCGTTACCTCAAGGACAACCTTTGTGATACATGTCATTATAAATATTATACACATATATCATTCAAAGCCAGCTAACTTTCAGTTAAAAAAACAACACAAAACACAAAACACATTTTCATTAAATAAGAGTTAACTGACAAACATTCTGTACACATACTGTTATTATGGTGTTGAAAGACAAGGTCGGTTTGTATCAATGTGTCCACTGCAGGGATAGCTGTGTGAAGTTGGTAAGACATATATGTCGCAGAGAATGGATACTTACTTTCAGGGTTACCTGGTACACTTTTCTGCGTCAACCAGAATAAAGAAGATCTTTATCTTCAAATCTCATCAAGTTTTCAACTGTGTGGGGTCTAATATTATATCTGTGCCATCCACCTGGGTTAAAACACCTGTGAAGCCAACAAAGCACCCGTCTACATGCCAAGCACATACGTTACACCTCCATGTTACACTCTAAGTCTCTTTTTATTATCAACTCTAAACAACCTTTGGGCAGAAATATTCATGCATGTGTTCCTTTACATACAGGAGATACGATCGTTTTGTAAAAAGCTAAGGAAGTGTATAAACAGTGTCTGCAAAAGTAATTGACAGGAGCATCAGATTTTCGGGTGTAGCCCTAAATATGAATGAATATTTTATTTGCAAATAATGTATGTATTTGAAGTTAATGTCTTGGAAAGCTTTGGTTCCAGGGTACAAGGTGTTCCGACAGATAAGCATCTTATGCTTCAGGCTAGAAGCAATAACTCATCATTGTGTTGGTCGCCCTTCAGCAATGTTGGATTCGCCCATTACAATATAGAAAGGTTTTATTTTGAAATGTGGAGGTTAAAATGTGATTGAGTATCTGATAAAAAAATATTCAATTATTTCACTAACACTGTATTATATGTTGTTAGAAATGATTTTTTTTTTTAAATTGTAAAATGTGTTGTGAGGTATTGATTAAGGGAATTTGACCAAATAATGACTTTTTTGAGTTGGAGATTATTAAGATATTTATTTTATACAACTACCTGCAATTGACATCAAACTGAATTTCATGAAAAGTTGCTAAAGCAGGGTCTGAAATAACTGCCTGTCCGTGGCTGGTAACTTTTCTGTCGGACTGCCTGAAAATGGCAGATAAATTTAAGACTACTTACGTATTCAGTTTTATTATGACTCCTTGTATATTCTCAAGTAATTGTTTGCATTTTTTCAATTAAATCAAGACACGATTTGTCTATTATTTTTTGTGATTTTTCAATACTTATAATGTCTGAATTCGGACAGGTAACTTGGAAGATGGGCAGGCAACACTTGTGGGTCGCTTGCCCGACTGTCTTGTTGGGTTTTAAAATTATTTCAAACACTGTGAGTACCAATATGTAGAAAAGAAAAAGTAACCATTGTTTAAAATATTTATATGATTAATCATTCATTAACTCAAAGATGCAGTCGTGTGTGATTTAGATAACATTTTCTTGGCACAGGTACAAATGTGAACTCTCGCATATCAGTCCAGTGTGTGTGAGACAAAGTCTGAAAATTGTAAATCATAATGAGATGATGACATGCGAACACAGATATTTACTACGTTAAAGGACTTCTCAACTGGTTAAACATGTAATGTGAGCATTGACTTCAGGCTTTCTCAGTGCATATCTTAATGTCACATTCCAAATGGTCTTGCTTCAGGGAATGCTAAGAACATGTGTATTTTCATGCAACAGCAACAGTTTAGCTTTGTGCTGAGTTACATGTGAGACTGGTACATGTCACACTTGCGAAGTGCCCCAACTTCACACATTCTAATTAAAGAGTATATTATCTTTGTGTACACACAAATCTCTCAATAAATATGTAAACACACTAAAACGATTCACATTTTCTTTCAATAAATATGTACCAGGAGTATATGATTATTTTTTTATTTTTTGTGGGAAACAGAAAACTAAGAATTTTTTCTAATGAAAAAAAATGCTATCACTGAATTTGTGTTTGAGCAAACGAGAACTGATATTTTCAGTTAAGTTTCGCAAAGGGTTTAAGGTGTGCAGAGATTGTAGATTTAGGGAAGGGCGGCTGCAATTGGTAATGATGCTAATGAGATGATTCATTCATATGACACCCCAGATCAGACGGAACCTATTTCTTCACAACAAGTTTTATGCATCTGGATAGTCTTCATTTGTGAAACTGTCAAGTTCACAGTTTTCCTCCACTTGATAGATATTTATCCCACAACTCAAGTTCCCAAGTCTAGTCATATTATCTTTGCTAGTTGTTACAGATCATCTAACTCCAGTGTCAAATACATTCTTGGGGATAAGATATCAAATTAAGATTCTAGGTATATGTCAGTGTCAGAAATATCCGGCTGTTGAATTGTTTCAGATAGAAATAGTTGAATAAGACCAGTAGTGTTAAAGCAGCCAATTCAAGGAAATAAAACAGTGTGGGTCTTCTCATATTGCCAGGACCTGTTTAACTGAATTACTTGTATCTGATAAGCAAAATGCTTGATTTCTAGAAGAAGATGACTTTATTGTACATAAACAATTGAATGGAAGACAAATGGTATAATGAATGTGTTATTGACTTTTTATAGTTGGAATGTAACAGGAATATTGGTGTTGAAGGTCTAGAGAGGAGGTTCTAAATGAAAAAGGATATAAATTTTGCAAAAGGTGCTTGTGATTAGAATATTTTACTTGTTGAAGTAATATTGGATGCATAGCTAGGGCAAGTTTTGACAGTATTTCGAGATACAGATCTTTTTAATGACAACAGAATATATGATCAAATTCTTATTGTCTAAAATAACATCAGTAAGCCTTATGGCACAAGCCCATCAGGCCAAAATCTCGGCTCTTACAGCTGCAATGTTTTCAAAATAGCTTCCTTTTGTCTTTTGCATCATGACTTCATTTTGGTGCAAGCTAGCTTGGTCAAACTTCACATGCTGATAAAGAAAGGCAATCAAACAGATTACATGTTTGTTAGAATTCCATCCATTGATGATTTTCAACTAAATCCTTCTCCCTTCCAAATGATTGTTAATTACATGTTATCAAAGGTTCCTTCTCTTGTATTGTGCCATGAAGGACCTAATGTCAAGCCAATCCAACATGGAGTATGTGCAGACACTCTTTCTGCCCTTTGTGATTAGAGAGTTCCTTAAGGGTCGTCAGGGTAACCTGATGATAATGGCCAGTCAGCATTCTTCTCAGTTTGTAACTCACCTTCAGTTAGGATAACTAGGAACATAGTGCACAGTCTTCTGATTGGTTTGGAAATAACTTTGACCTCTTGGCAATTGAAGGTCATGACTTGTATCTGTTAAAGTAAGAAAACTATTGTAAGTCAGTGTGCCAGTGTAAACTCATTATACTGATGTAATGGATTAGGTTAATGCTGGGGTAGACACCCTTGTGATATCAATCTAGGCCTTATATTGGACTTGTGGCTTATGTAAAAGAACAAGATTTACAATAAAACAACTAGCGTGTCTAGATCTGTACTTGTCTCAGAATGTCAGACAAGTGGTGGTCATGTCTGTCCGTGGTCATGTTGTGTGTAATGGAGAAATGACTGGAATATGTTGTTTCTAGAAGTAGAATCAACAAGCCCCAAAGAGGTGAATTGATTCGATATCCGGAAACAACAGATCGAGTGATTTTCCAACTTATACCATGTAACCGTTGATGTATAATTTTTCTATATTTTTTCATGACATACAGTTGCTTCAGTTTTACTTGCACAAAATGCACATTGAGAATGACCAGCAAATTCCCGTTTCAGAATCAACTGCACAACAATAGCATGACATCATCGCAATGGTTTCAAATTATGATTGTTTTAATTTTCCAGTATTTGTCCGCTGGTATCTTGTTTTCATTTTGTTAACTCTTTGTGGTGGATGTTACTTTCAAACTATACTTCTATATTTTTTGCAAGTGACAAATACTAGTCTCTTCAGAAAGTCATTGAATACTCATATTTTTGTCATTTAACTTCCTAAATGCAGGCAATATTTTGATGACTTTAGTCATGCAGTTATGTCGGTGTGACAAATGGTATGACTTATGTCTGCTTAATTAGTATACCAATTAGATACTGTCAGACACACACACACATTCACATTCACACACACACACACACACACATTCACACACACACACACACACACATTCACACACACACACACACACACACACACACACACACACACACACACACACACACACACACACACACACACACACACAGAGTAGGTATTCAGTTGTAACTGAACTGCCATTTTAAAGACTGAATTGTTCATAATTCTATGATGTTTCAAGAAAGAGTAACAGGACTGTAGATACATATATAAAGAAAACAAAAGAGTTTGAGTGAGCAATGTTAATGTCCATATGGTTCTCCAGTTCTCCTCTTTCCTGTCTGTCATTATGTATCAGCTCTAAATAAGCATCTGTGGGAGAGGGTGATCTAAGTTGTGATAACATGTGCCCAATCCTTTTCATGTGAGTAAAATATGTTTTAAAAAAGAATAACATTGCATGTACTGTCACAAACAATAACATCAGGTCGTGACCTTTCAAGTACACACTGTTTGCTGAAAGCTCTTCATAGCTATTGGTTGTCTTGAGAGGAGAAATCCCTGACAGAGTTATTTGATCACAGCTGAATTGAGATTGACTGGCTGTCAGGTCAGTATTCCTTGGAATGAATGAATGTTTTCAATCCTGATAACCAAACAGTACAATATGGCTGCACCTGTTGGGTGGACATGACGTGAGGAGAAACACTAGCTACACTTTAAAGCTAAACTCTTCCCTCCTTCAGTTTCCCCCCAGACACATGGTACAAGATTTAGGAACTTGTTGCCATATATATGCAGGGTTTTGTTCGGGGACAACCAGCTGATCATGATGAATGTGTGATCATCATATCCTGACAAGCACTACATCATCACTGTAACAAAAATATCTTCAGGTACATTTAGATTATTCTTACCCAGTTATCCGCTTTCCTTGTGTGAGTACAATGTTCATCTTGTATCAGCTTGTTTCATACATGGTGACTTGAAGCTCCAGAGGTCAGTTTTCTGTCAATACCCTTTTGTTTAATATGCTGATTTTAATTTTTAGTTCCTGACATGCAAGTTAAAGAAAATATCGTTTCCATGTGCATTATTTTCTTATGCACCTTGTGTGCCAAAGTTTATTGAATTATTAGTACCCTTTGTCTATGTGAAATTTAGGCTAGCCTTTTTTGTGCCTCCCAACAGGAATGTGTGGAGAAAATGAGATGTTCTTGCATCCAAATAGTACCTTCTATTTAACCTGAATACTGATTGTATTCTTTTAGTTTAACCCCTTGGGGATTCTGGGTTAGAATTAGTCTCCAGCAACTTATGCTAAATGGATTGGGTGTCTAGCTCTGTGATTTGGTTGGTGGTGTGTCATTGTACCACAATGGGGTGGATCGTTGTTTACAATATCTGTCAGTTGATTGTCGTTCAGATTCCATTCCTTACGGGCCACTGTCATGCAGCTTGAATATTGCAAACAAAGAAAGAAAATCTTGACATTTTGAAGGTAGATTAAGCCATCAATGACTTCAATTTAGCTTAAATTACACATGATTCTCTGAAAAAAAATCTTTTTTTGTCGGCAATAACAAACAAATGAGTCTCAGAAGTAATGTGACACCCTTCTTGATCAGCAGATCATTTGGACACATGGCATTTAGAACTTGGTACTTCTCTCTTCGGAAGTAATTTATACACGTATGTGCTTCAACTTTTATGTATATACTGATGGAAACAAATAAGGGAACATCACTTCAATGCAGTGTTCCATCATTCATTCCCAGATTTTCACCCACAATACAATACAATACAATACAATACAATACAATACAATACAATACAAAGAAGAAGAAACCTAGAAAACAATTAAGGAACACTTGGACTTTCATGTCTTTTAATTTGTTACCCTGTGTGTGTATCCGTCCGTGTGGCTGTGCGTGCACATATCAGAGTTGTCTTATCTTGAATTTCTTTTTCTGTCAACTGTTGCTTATTGACGGTAACTCCTTTCATTTTACTAAGCCTGTGATTTCTGTATTTTCAGCACTGGATGTACCCATGTCGGAGTTTGAGTTATTTTCATGCTGGGGTTTAGACTAGCATGAAGAATGATGATGAACTACCTCAATCGAGGCTGTGTTGGCAGTGTGTACATGACTGGAGTACTTACTGTCATAATCTTTGTCATCAGTGGACATGCTCTAGGTAAGTTAAAATTCAATGTCTTTACGCTATTGGTACCTCATAATGTCTGCCAAATGTGAAGGCATCAGGTAAGTCGCTATCGCAATCTCATTAAAATGAGATCTTAGTTCTCACTGCAGCTAGACAATGATCTGAGGACATCCTATTACAGGTCATGTCAGACCAACCTTTCGCAAACTTTGACCAACCAATTGACTGACTGACAAGAAGTCAACATTAGCCAATCAGAAGACAGCTTTCTCGTGCTTTACATTCTGGGATGCCTAAATAGATGGCCTAGATTGTATGGATTCAGTTGTAAAGCATGCAACTGTTGTTTGGAATACTTGTGTTAAACTTTTCGAGGTTGCATGATTAGAAAATACATTCCGAATGTCACTTTCCTGATCTGGTAAGCAACGCTCTGATTGGTTGGATGAAAGGTCGTTCTGACGTGACCTGTAATGTGATGTCCTCAGATCTTTGTTTAGTGGTAGTGAGAACTAAGATATAATTTTAATGAGATTAGTCACAATTGTTGTTTTCAGAGTTGGATTTGATGCCGTTTTTCAGTTTGTGTCACATTTTGTTTGAGGAAAGCTCAGGACAACACATGTTGTTCAATATTATGCTGACCAACCCAGGATTATGATCTGTCCTTATCGTGGAATAAAACCCATGACCAGTGGATCCGGCCATTGCTAAGGGACCGACCATTTGATGTTCTGGGGTGGGGGCCTGGGATTTGGTATGGAGATGAAGTAGTACAGCTGTAAAACCAGATATTAAATCTATGAGCGTGAATATATCTTTAAGAAAACACCTTGGACCAATGTTAATTTGTGGCAGACAATTTCTTCTGCTTTCAATTGTCTGAAGCATTATTATTTTTGTCATTTCTGGGGACTATATAGTTTTTTGATAATTTCACAGGTTCCCCCATAATATCAAATGGCCAGTCCCTAAGGGACTTAACTGCTTGAACAGCTAAAATCTGTTACTTAAACCTCAATGCACCTATAGCATTACCTGAGTTCATGATCAGTCATTGTTCTTGTTGGCTTATAAATATATAAATGTATTCTGGTGGAAGCTGGTTGATTTTGATTTAGTTGTGTTGTAATGATAAAATGATGTAATTCTAGTAAAACCTGTCTTACCTGTGAATGTATCAAGTGTTATCACCTTGTAATATTAAGCTTGGCAATTTATGTTCCAAGTGAATAAGTGTCTGACGAGCCCCCTTAAACAAAGACATCTTTTTGAACTGTGAATGACAAACTTCTAAGTGGAAAGATGTTCTTCTTGACACGGGGGGTATCAGTTTCATCAAATATACCAAACGCAACCCAAGGTAATGAAACCTATAGGATAACTGCAGAGTCACTTGTGCATAAGGATGTGAACAATTGCGTGAGACCATTCTTGCTGTGATATTTAGAAGCTGTTGATTGAAGAGCAGTGATCCACAGAGATTATCAGACAAAATTTCACAGTTGGCTGTAACTTGTGGCCAGGCAAGGATATTCTGTCATCACAAGCCAATGTGTGTGGCATTTTCATCCATGTTCTTCATCAAAGTGTTAAAAATGTACACCTCAAAAATAGAGATCTGCTTTAAACAGCTGGCTTCAGAAGTTGACTTTCATGGCCGGTTTATGCCCTCATTGTGATGGCTGAATGTACCTGTAGTGGCTTACATTAAACTATCGACACTTTACGACACCTTTCTCATATAGTGAATACAGGGAGGTCGGCTAGGCAGGAGAATGATCTTAAATGGAATGATATCAAATTTGCACATGTATACTCTGACAGGGTATTTTGATTCCATTTGCCCAAGATGTACGAAAAGAAGACGACGACTTTAATGTACATAAACACCCACAAGGGACAGGGTACAAAGCATGAACATGACTGTTATAAAGGAAGAAGGTCAAGAGAGGAGATGCAGATTTCCTTAACATGAATGTTTTTGTAAATGAAAAAGGAGATAATACTTGTAAAAGGTGCTGGTGGATTTGGAAGTGTAGCTAAAGTGGATGATGGTAGTAGTTGCAGGTCTTTGTGAAGGGGGCATCTCATCAGAAAATGTACTTCATCTTCTTTTTTTGATAGTTTTACAATAGGTACATATTCTTTCTGGCAGATGAAGAAGGGCTGCCAGCATTTGGAAAGGATGTTTTAGTGTTCCTGTTTCTGAATTTCCCTTCAGTCAAGAGTCAATTATCAGGTTCAGATTATAGATTTCAGTGCAATCCCTGTTTAAATCTACTGCGATCTGTGCAAGAAATGTTCTCACAGACTATCCGTTATTTATCACATTCACTAAACACCTCAAGGGGGAGAGAGATCCAGACATGCAGATTTACTTCAGTATAAACTGTTGATCTGTTCACCGGGTGTTTATCAAGGTGGTTGTAAACTATATTTCCTTCATTCCTTGTGTTGTAAATCAAAAAGTGAGAAGACACGACAGCAAAACTTAGCCGTCTTAGTAAATGAGACGAAGTGTGTTTTGATATGCCACATGTTTGAGACTCTTTGAGCTCAGGAAGATGTGTTGCTGTTTTCTCTGGATACTTTAATATCAATATGATGTGGAAGAAACCATTCTAGCTCTAGTAATGTGTTACTATAAATACCTGAAGGTCAGGACATGCGAGTGTGATGGCAGTTTGAGATACATGGTTTCAAAACATTGTGCAGCTTTAAAACACATTTAGTTTATTATTATTGTCCCGGAGCCTAGTAAGTAAATCTGTATGTATATGAAACACACAGAAGTCAGTCATATTTTCTGACATTTTTCTTCATAAGGTTGGACAGGGCCATGTTCATGTAGAAAACATTGGCAGCTCTGCACAAGATGTTTGTATGTTTAGGCCTAATCATTTCCGTTTTGGTTTCTATGTTAACACCCCCACATCTCCAACTCTCTTTAAATATGATCATACTCAATCACAATATTTTCATTCCTTGGAAAAAGATTGGTTCCCTGTGTACCATCTGTGAGAGATTCAAAGCTGGTCCTTATGGCAGTTTCATAAACAAAACAGCAGACATTTTGAAGATGTGATTAAGATTGCTGACTATTCCCTGATTATTGTTTGAACTGCCTCAGGGGTCTATTAATAAATCTGAAGCAAACGAAGACAGGACTTATATGAGTTCATGTACCCAATAACTCAAGGCAGAAAAATAGAACTTGCAGTTCACTAACTTTAAAACACATACAGTGATGACTGATAAATATCATTCAGCAATTGTTAATTTTTGGTCACATTTACTTTTTGATATTAGCTTTTTAAAAAAATGTATACAATCGGCAGCAACTGTTCTTTGAAGAGTTGTTTACGTTTGTACACATCTGAGAACAGAACATGATTTGATGGATTGTTTCTTTTTTCAGCAGGATGTTGTATTTAATACTTGTTGAAAGGACTGAATGTTTGATCTTGATTGTCATACACTGAGTAGTCTTGATTTTCTGGGAGTCTGCAGAAAGTGTTAGTGTGAAGCCTCGAAAGAATCGGAAGGTGCAGGGTTAGAGTTGTGGCTGAGACTGTCAAAGATGATGTGAAATGAGGTTTAACATCGTGTCCCACTTAGCGGCATGCAACATATGTGTGCGTGTCTGAACTAATGACGTTTTTAACAGTTTAACATGGATATCCCACTCGGACACAGTATACTGACTCCGAACTGACCAGACCTGGTTTTGTCCCCTTAATACCGAGCGCCAGGCAGGGTAACAACAAGTACCATCTCTTAATGTCTTTTGGGTATCACACAGCCAAGGATCAAACCACTGACCTTCCACTCTCCAGGCAGACATTCTCTCCACTACATCCTGGAGGCGGTGCAGATGTTAAAGGGGTTTAGTAATTCTATTACCTGTGCAGCCTGTAATAAAACTGTGATCTATCAACTCCCAGTACGCCATGATGTTTTCTCAGGCCCTACTGCACAAACTGATTTGGTGATTGACTAATCGGCAAGCTATCAACAAAGGGAAACAGAAAAATGTTGGCAAGCTGAATGCGTAGTTATTTGTTTCTGAAAGAAATGTTTGCACATTCACATTGCCGTTTCAACAATGGTTCCACTTAGTTGTTTGTTTCTGAAAGAAATGTTTGCCCGCACCTTGCCATTTCAAGAAGAGCTCGACATGCATATTAAGGGCACTGATGGACTGACATTTGGGGGGACAGATGCATTGTCTTTCTACACCCATCCCATTTATTGATAGCAAACAGCACTTACTGACTAACATCTTCACCCATTGTTGTACAGGTTCTGGAACTGGACTTACATATATTGTAGCTTTTGGCAAGTTGTGTAAATATCCAAATGTTTTAATTTGAGGAGAGAGAATGCAGTGCTTTACATTTTAAGTGATTTTAACATTTAATTCAACAGATTCAAATGAAACAGGAAGAATAAGGAGACAAATGCATATAATGAAACATGTGATCAAGATGGAAACAGATATCAACACCAGGGAATATTTAGTTTTGATTATCTGCCGAGACAGATTCCATTGGGTGTAAAAGACAAAAAAGAGGTGAAAATTATGTCAATGGATCACTGAAAATTGTGATGACTCCAGGTGGTCAGGGAAAAAGGTTCATGAAAATGATTTTGACAATTTCATCCGTTGGTTCATTTGACAATTTACCAATTGTGTGTCACCTGGAGTGTACATAAACTATCACACATCTCCTGCTTCATAATAGTTGAATATTAATGTCATGAAATGGAATGTACATAAACTATCACACATCTCCTGCTTCATAACAGTTGAATATTAATGTCATGACAGGAAATAAGAGGAATCTGACTTCTTGATATGGGGCAGAAAAGGATTTGAACTGTAGCTTTTGGATTACCTGGGATATTTTGACTATTTATTGTTGATGTGGGTGTACTTTTATCTGAATTACTGGCACAAGGAGAGGTAGACATAGCTGCCTGTATGTGAGTAGCAGCACCAACTAGTAGCAACCATAATTGGCAAT